GATTTTACCCACCGGCTCTGCGTGGTGGAGAGGACCCGCTTGCTGCTCCGGTCGGCTTCTTCGAGATCAAGGAGCTGTTGTGAAAGCTTCGCTTTCTTCTGCAGCAAGCTCTCGTTCTCAGCGGCCATCCGTCGGATCAGCGCCTGGTCCTGCCGCACACCAAAAAAAAAAAAAGCCCCCACAAAGCACACGCCTTAAGACTGGACAATGTTTCTAGCATTCTACGCTCAGCCTCCTGCCCAGCAGGTCACCCGAAAAGCAAGGGTGCAACCCTCCTGGCCCGCCAGGTGTTTTTAGAGGGCAGTGCCTCATGCTGCTGCAATCATCCTCACCTTGTGCCCGCTCAGAGGAGGCGGCGGGACAGGAAAGCCCAGGGTGCGGCCCCTGAGTGGGCGCCCCCAGAAGGAGGCAGAGAAGCCGGGGCACCCAAAGGACGAACCGTTACGAACCACCAAACCAGCAGCCCGTGCCTGTCTCTAGCGCAGTGTGGCACTCAGAAAAGGGGGCCGGCGTTTGCTCAGCGCCCGGCCTGGAACTGGCAAAAGACGAGTGGGAGATTTGGGGTGAACCCTCTAGGAGTTTTTCTTTTAATCTGTGCAATATTTTCAGACCGTGGATAAGTGAATCAGTGGGTGCTGATCACGCAGATAAGGGGCTCCTCCTGTACAGTAAGAAAGCCTTAAAAGTGGCTTTTTGTCTTTTTTTAGAATAAGGAGGGGGGAAAGGATATTCCTGCTTGGAAATCACCAAAAGAGTGGCATTACAGGGAAGGAGAAACTCACCGTTCGGGGGGAAACACAGGATTGGGGTTCCAGAGCTTGACATTGTTCCCCAGGGCCTGAGGCGCCTTCCCCCATAGGCCCTCAAATGGGGTGCTCAAATTAGGGCTCTGGAGAACCCAAAACAGATCGGTGTGTGGGTGTGTCCGGGCTCCCACCTTTTCTCTCAGGCTCTTCGATAACTGGACTTCATCCTCCAGGTGCCGGAGACGGACGTCCCGCTGCTTCACTTCAGAGATGAACGTCTCCTTGGCCCGCCGCAGCTTGGCCCTGTGCCGCAGCTTCCTCTCACGGTTCTTTCTGAGGTGACAGAAGGCTTTCAGAAAAGGCTCGGGACCGAACCTCCCATCCAAACCGACCGCCGGGCGCACGGAGGCATCTGCCTTTTTTGAGCCGCGTTTGTTAAAACATGCAGGAGGGATTCGCCATTCAGAGGAACACAGCTATTCCTTTGATGGGTTAAAGGCTTCAGTTAACTATTTCAGAACTTGGGGGGGAGAGATGTGGGTCCTCCCAAGGGAGGACCTCCCTCCTTCTCCATCCTCACAGGTGTCACCAAGGTTGTCCAGCCACTCCCCAGCCCAGTCCGCTGGGCTTCCCAGCCAATTCGGACGGAAGCCCTTCCTGGTCTGACCCAGCCTCACCGGATCGAGAGGTCCACCTGCTCCAGGATGTGCATGTACTCCTCGTGGAGGGTGTCCTTCTCCTGCTGCAAGGCTAAAAGCTGCTCCGAGAGCTTCTGGCTGTATTTCTGGCAGTGGAGGTGCTGGGGGGAAAAGATGTGGGAGGATCAGGGCAGTCGCTTTGGGCGGAGCAGAGCTATTTCGGCTGATCCGGGGAGGTGGGGGGGGAAGAGATAGGAAGAAGAGACCAGCTACAGGCAGCCCCGTCAGCTCCCTGGGATATCCATAGGGCTCAGGAAAGAGATCGTAATCGGCACTCCTTGTTATCTCTGCCGCAAGGTGGACATCTGGGTGGATACTGTGACCCAGACTCCTTCCTGTGCCCCCCCCAGCCCTTCAGCGTGGGATAGACCATCTTTTCCTGATCCTGGCTGCCCAACCCTACCCAAGGATTTTCCATCTTCTGGCCGATCAGCAGGGTCTCTCCTAATCTCTCCCCCCCTCCCCATTCCCTGGGCCCTCTGCTTCACCACAGAATCCTGGCATCCTGGAGTCAGGAGGGGTCTCAAAGGCCATCGGGTCCAACCCCTGCTCAAGGCAAGGAATCCAAACCCAAGGATACCCGCCGGGGGGGTGTCTAAATGTCTCTTGAAGGCCTCTGCAAGGTTGGAGCACCGCTCACCCCCTCCCGAGGTCATGGGTCCCATTGTCATACTGCTCTATCAGTGAGGTTTTTCCCCTGATCTTCAGCCTAAATCTGGCTTCCGGTCGCTGGAGCCCACGATGACACGTCCTGCGCAATATCAGACCAGCAGGGCAGGGAGGAGGGTGGCTAATGCCCAGCTCCCTCCACCCGACCCTCTGAGGAGGAGGAGAGGCCTTGCTGCTCTCTGCAAAGTGGCTGCTCTCCAGCAAGAAGCTTAGACGAGCCACTGGCTTCTTGACCAGGTCCCTTCGTGAGACACAGGCTGCTCCCGGGGGTCTGGCCCACCTCGTTGGAGAGTGTCCTCTTCTCTTCCTCCAGGATCCGCAGCCGGGCCTCCAGCTGCTGCGACTGGACTTGGCCCTCTGCGCAGGTCCTCGTGAGCTGAGTCTCCTTCTCCCGGGCCGACCTGAGCTGCTGGTGAAGCTCTTCTGCCCGCTGTTCAAGGAACTTCCTGGTGAGAAAAGCCATGCCCATAAGGAGGAAAACAAGAAAGGAAGGTGCCCGCTTTCTCCACTTTGTGGAAGGGAAGGCCAGGCTGGAGCGAAGGACCTCACCTTTTCTGCTGCTCCTCCTGAAACTGCCGCTGGGCCCTGGCCTGTTTCTCTCGGGCCTCCTTCACTTCTTCCTCCAGCTGCTTCTTCCCCAAGAGATGCATCTGATGTTGGGAGTCCTTCAGCTTCTGCTGCAGCTCCGCAATCTGGAAAGGAGAGAGGAGAGAGAGATTATGGAACAGGACAGCAGGAAGGTTCATACAAAGTTTCATGATTCCCACAGAGAAGCAGGTGGACGGGGTGCTTCTCTTACAGACGGAAAAGGAAAGCCGCCGTGTGGGCTCTGCATGGATGTGAGGGGGCTCTCTTTCTACCTTGTGCTGGTTTGAGGGCTTCCACTCCCATCCTTTGGCCATAATTCCCACCAAACGATGGGATCGGAAGTCCTTTCCTTCCGAAAACCTCACCCCTATCGTTGCAAACGATGTGGATCAGCGAAAAGAAACTAAGCCACACATGGTCAGGATATTTTACCGCGTAGGTCCTAGGGTCCTCTTTGGCCCCTCGGCCTGGTGCCCCTTTAAAGGGTGGCCTGATCCTGGAAGTGCAGAAGGGCGTGCCCCTGAAAAGCTAGCTGCTGGCGGCCAGGGACCCGGCCGGGCTGGCTACTGACCGTCTTCTCGGCTTCGGCCACCCTGGCTTTCTCCTGGGCGAGCTTCTCTCGCAGGCCGCTCTGCTGTTGGGCAGCCTGGGCCTGCTTCATCAGCTGCAGCTCCAGCTCCTGGGCCTTCTGGTGGCTGAGTTCGGCCTGCGAGGTGAGCGACGAGCAGGCTTGGGAGGCCTCCGAAAGCTTCAGCTGCACTTGCCTCAGCTCCGCTTTGACCTAGAAAGAGGGGACCCCATTTGCGTTTTTGACATAGCCATCGGGGGAATTCAGGGAGATGTAATTTTAAACAAGAAGAGGCAGCAGCTTCACGCTTTCTTTCCAGGCTCCTGCAGGCTTTCCCTCATGAAGGTTTATTGGGCTTCACGGTCCCCATGAAGTGGGAGTCACCAGCCTAGCCTGAGACAGACGCTGGCCTGAGCCGGGTCCTGCGTCCACTGAGCTTGGCCAAAGCAGGCGGACGCCGGTGCCTTTCTTGACCCGGCTTCAGGGCTGCCTCCGATTCTGTTCTGTTGCCCGGCTCAGCAACCGACAGAATGAGTCGTCCTTCGAGAAGGGGAGACCCACGGGATGGCGGCTGCAGTCCCACAACATCCCAAGGGCCACGCTGTGCTCGCTGCCGCCCTGCCCCTTCTCCAGGGACTCTTATGGGCTGCCCAAGTCACTGATCCCAGCCCCTCCGAGGGCTGTTTTCTAGCCTGCTCCTGACCCAGACGAGGCACCACGCCACTCACCTGATGAGCCTCGATCTGGTAGACCAGTGAGCTGTAAACCACAAAGGGGGTTTAGAAGGAATGTCCCACAAACAAGGAGGTCCTACTGTAATTCTTTCCTACCATTCCTCGGTTGGCTGGCCTCTCTGTAAAGCAGAACCCCCTACCTTGATGTTCTCCTGCTGGAGCGAGACGTTGTGTTTCCTTAGCTCCAGGTTTTTTTCCCTTTCGTGCCTCAGCTCCTTCTCGGTGGACCGGCACAAATTCTGGACTCGATGGACGTCGTGTCGAAGCCGCTGCAGTTCCTCCTGCTGCCGAAGGAGCTTCTCTCCTGGGGGGACCTGCAGGCAGGTTGGAGAAGATGGAAACTGGGAGGAGAGGCGATGAAAGGGACACCCTGGAAACACCAAGAGCTCGAGGTCTAAAATCTCCTGGGGATGAAAATACTACCGAGTAGTCCACAGAGTAGTCAACAGGTGTTGACCATAGAGAAGAAGCAGCCACTCCCGCTTATGTCTTATCTGGCTACATTTCTGGATCGATAAGGAAAGCAGGCGGGCAGGATTCCCTCGACTCCTGACATTCTGGCCAAGGATGACAAAGGTTCTCAGGTTGCGGACAAATAGAAAGACACTCCGTTCCAGAGGTGTGTGATAAAACTGCACTTTGTCCATCCTAGGTTTGGGGAGGCAGCCTGAAGAACACCTTCAAGGCCACCAGGGTTTATGACTCATTTCTTTGTTTGCTACATTTCCATCCCGCTCTCCCTCCATGAGCTCAGAGATGCAGCGTTCTTTCTTTCTTTCTTTCTTTCTTTCTTTCTTTCTTTCTCTCTCTCTCTCTCTCTCTCTCTCTCTCTATCTATCTATCTAATCTATCCATCCATCCATCCATCCATCCATCCATCCATCCATCCATCCATCCATCCATCAAGAACAACAGGTCTGTCTATCTATCCATCCACCCATCCTTATCTATCTGTCCGTGCATTCTTATCTATCCATCCGTCCATCCTCCATCCCTCCCTCCTTCTGTCCATTCATCCATCTACCTATTTAATACAGTAGGACCTCCCTGTCTACAGGATCAATATCTGCAGTTTCAAGATCCAAACCTGAAAACATTTAAAATATTAAAAGAAAAATCCTAGAAACATCTATTTCTAAAAATGAAGTTACCAGGACTGGCCACTAGAAGGACCCATAGACCACACCGTGTCTACAATTCGCTATACAGTAATTTACATTTTACAGCATTGGAGGATGGCTTGAAACTGATCCCCGGTGGATATTTGGGGCAGGTCCCACGGTCTACTGCCCCATGATGCCCTATACCACACCATTGGGAGAGCGTCTTCAAGGGTTTCATGGCCGTGAACCCCCCCCCCACCTCCAACTTCCTCGCTGCAAAAGGCCAGTCTGGGTCAGGGTACAGAGACCCCTCTTGCTTAGAAAACGGTCTGACCTGGTGGATGTTGCCGTCGGCGCTCCCCGCAGGGGCATGGGCCACGGGGGGCGGATTCTCCCCAAACCCAGCCTCGTGCCTTGACCTCACCGTCCCTGGGCTGCGGGCGCTGAGTTGATGCCGCAGGGCGAGGATGTCGCTCCTCAACCGACTGTTTTCCTCCCACAAGAGGCTCTTCTCTTCCCGGCTGCCTTGAAGTTGCTTTTCCACTTCCTCCACCCTCCTGCTGCTCTCAAGCAACTGAAGACTTGAGGTTAAGAAAGATGGGTTGGTGGAAGGAGGGGAGAAAGAGAAATGACACGGTTTATTTCATGAAAACCAATAATTCTACAAAGCCAACTCATTGACAAACTTCAGGAGGAGAAAGAAATTCCTTTTGCGACATGCAGGGATTCCCACTAGTTAAGGATTTTCCTCTTCTAATAACTAGCTGTCTTTAATGTCTGTTTCTCCACTCAGAGATACCACCCCTGCTTCCTGCCTGGTCAACCTTCCCTCTTGAAAAGCAGCCAGGAACGCTGGGTGACAGTAATGGCTTCCCGCAGCATCTCTTTGGAAAAGCCCACAGTGGGAGGTGGTCTACCACAATCACAAGCCTACGGAGGAGGCCCATGTGGGTCTCCACATCCTGGGTGACAACTCTGGTCATCCCCAGCTAGGGCTGAAGAGCTTCACTTTGACAACAGAGAGGAGAGAAGGGCATCCGTCTGCCAGGGTTGGGGGCCAGGGGACTTATGGGGAAGACCAGACTGGAGGTGGGCACTGGGTGGCCCTCCAGATGTTCCTAAACCTGCCCCACAGGCTATGCGGGCTAGGGATGATGGGAGTTGCCGGCCAACCACACCACAGGAGGGCCACCGTTTGCCTTCCCAGCTAAGAAGTTCAATGCAAAATGGAAACGCAGATCCCCTCTGGCTCACCGAAGCTGCTCCATCTCTTCTCCCGGGCCGGCGAAAGGCTCCTCTGACACGCCGTCTCTCGTTCTGGCCCAGAATCTCTCCCCCGGCTTCTTCCCCTCCGTCACAAGCTGGTTCAACCGCTCGCATTTTTGGGAGAGATCCGATACCTGTGAGGTCACGGAAGTCAGTTATGCACATCTCTGGAAACACAACTGGGAGGGTTTAGCGGCCAGGCTGGTCTCGGACAGCCGAGCAACGGATTCCCTGGGCAGACCTGTGCATGTCAGACAGCCACCTCCTAGAATAGAGGGAATCCGAGAAGTAGATGAAATTACAGCAACCCCAAGAGAAGTCCCTTCTGTGGGCAACAGCTCTAACCGCACCCACACACCAGCATTCAGCTCCGTGTTTCATCTTCCACCACCTGTCGGCCAGGAATTCCAGCGTTTGGCCAATGCAGGTGTACCCGTCTTATCTCCGCAGCCAGATCGGGCGGAGTCCTGTTAACTCTTTACAGTGGTGCCTCGCTTAACGAGCGCCCCGCTTAACAACGAAACTGCATAGCGATGAAGATTTTGCGATCGCAAAAGAGATCGCATTGCGATGTTTTAAATGGTAAAAAATTGCCTTGCGATGATCGGTTTGCTGTTTCGCTTACCGATTATCCCATAGCGATGTTTTTTCAAAAGCTGATCAGCGGTTCCAAAATGGCCACCAGGTGAAAAAAAATGGCCGCCCGCTGTGTTTTTGCGCGGTTTCCTCGCTTACTGGGCAGCAAAAATGGCCGCCGTATGGAGGATTTTCGCTTAAAGGTGAGTTTTTAGCCCATAGGAACGCATTAAACAGTTTTTAATGCATTTCTATGGGCTTTTAAAAACCACATAGCGACAAAATCCCTTAGCAACATTTTTCCTGGAACGGATTATCGTCGTTATGCGGGGCACCACTGTATTCCCAAAGACCTTTTCAACAAGGGGTGGCTGGGCAGGGCAGACCAGACCCCCCCACTCACCTGCGTTTCCAGGAGCAGCTTTTCCTGCCGCAGCTTCTCGTGAGTCACGTGCAGGAAGTCCCTCTCTTCTGCAGCCCCACGAAGCACCTGGATTTCCCCGTAAAGCCGCAGCAGTTCCGACCTGGAATTGTTCACCTCCTGGTTAAATGACCAGGAGAGCCTTAATGAGTGACGGGTTTCCGTGGCGCTCCGTGGCCAAAGCCCCACTGGGGACGGAGCCGAAACCAAGGAGATTTCCAGGGCTCGATGGTGAGGAAGAGACACCAGGCGGCACTAACAGCAACTCAGCGGCCTTCTATAAAAGACACGGAGCTTGGAGAAGTTAATTTTTGGACCAGAACTCCGAGAATCCCGGCCACCGTGAGCCGTGGCTGGGCTCTGAGTATTAAGAGCCCAAAAAGTAACTCTGAGAAGACAGGCAGGTCACCTGCAAATTTATATCATATATCACTGCGGAGGCCCAGGTAATATGGTGTCCCATTATTTATTGGTAGAAACATTTCTGCGTCACCTTTCCCTCCTCCCGTGACAGCTTAGAAATCAAAATGCCAAAAAAATCCAACCAAAAAAAAAAAAGGAAGTAAATGTGTTGAATCCGAGAAGAGCAGAATTGAAACCTCTGCTTTCAAAGCACAACCAGCCCTTGAAAGCCAGAAGCGACCCCTCCCCAGACAGCCTGTCTCTCCTCCTCTTGGCATTTTTTTGGTCTTGTTTGAAGGAAGCCTCCACAGAGAGGACCACAACAGACTTCTCTCTCCTATGATGAGGAAATGCCCTGGAAGGCCATTCACGTGGCATCGGGAGTCTCTGGTGGCAGGGAAAAAGCCAAAAAGTCACAGAACCTGTAGCCACGTTGTTGTCTTCTCTTGTCAGAGGTCATGAAAAGGCCTTATTAATCTGACTACTTTTTTTCTAAAGGTGTGCAAGTTTGAATAATTCATTGTTATCTTCTTCCTACTGCTGTATCATATTAACAGTCTGTGACTGCTTAAGGAAGGAAGGAGAGGAGAGGAAAGGAAAGGGAAGGGAAGGAAGGGGAAGGGAAGGAAGAAAGAGGGAAGGGAATGAATGAATGAATGAATGAAGGAAGGAAGGAAGGAAGGAAGCAAGCAAGCAAGCAAGCAAGCAAGCAAGCAAAGCAACAAGCAAGCAGGGAAGAAGGGAGGAAAAAGCTGATGTTGGGAGGAAGGAAGGAAGGAAGGAAGGAAGGAAGGAAGGAAGGAA